GGAAATTATTCCAGACACATTAATAATAGATTTGCATATATTGTAATTAATACTGGAATGTTTATTTAATATGAAGCCTAATTAGAGTTAACATGTAAAATAACAAAGAGGTAATTATACCATCGACTGTCAGAAGAGCGATTGTACTTTTAAATTCTGCATCGGCGTGCCGTGTAAAAGGACACAGGTTTTCAGCTTCGATGTTGTGTAACATCACTCAGGCCATGCGGTGTAACGGACAGGCCCAGACGTGTAATGGACAGGCCACGTAGTGTAACGGACAGACTGTGCAGTGTAACAGACAAGCCGCGCAGTGCAACGTACAGACCCCAAGACATAACGGACAGGCCCTGAGATGTAACGGACAGGCCCCAAGGTATAACAGACAGGGCTCAAGCTGTAACCGACAGGCCCCAAGGTGTAACGGACAGGTCCCAAGGTGTAACAGTCAGGCTCACAGTGTAACAGACAAGCCACGCGGAGCAACATACAGGCCCCAATACATAACGGACAGGCCCTGAGATGTAACAGACAGGCCTCAAGGTGTAACAGACAGGGCTCAAGCTGTAACCGACAGGCCCCAAGGTGTAACGGAGAGGCCCCAAGGTGTAACAGACAGGCCTCAAGGTGTAACAGACAGGCCTCAAGCTGTAACAGACTGGCCTCAAGCTGTAACCGACAGGCCCCAAGGTGTAACGGAGAGGCCTCAAGGTTTAACAGACAGGCCCCAAGGTGTGACGGACAGGCTGCGTGGTATAACAGACCGGCCTTGTATTACGCCTCGGCTTGCCGGCACTCCCCACGCTGTTCTCACAGTTATTTATTTCACTGTCTTCAATGTTCTTGCAGTACCAAGCAAAGTATTTCCTCCTGTGTTTTTTATTTCACAAACATCAGGTGTGATTAATATTTTACAGCATACATCTGTTCGTTTATTTTTTTCCCTTCACTTTTTTTAGAGTAATCAGTTTCAGCCACTACACCTGGAGTCCAGAGTGGTACGCCCCCCCCCCCCCCCCCCCCCCCACAGGGCATGTGGCAGAATGTGAGGCCATACGGACGTCCGGCACACTGCCCGACGTGCGTGACTTGCACTGCCGCGTGGGGGCACTCATAAATCTTTCAATGCCTGGGGAGTCGAAAATACAGAAAGGATTCCAGTGAGGAAGGGGGGGTAGGTACCCATGCACATGTAGCAAGGAGATAGCTACAGTACTCAGTTAAAAGAGCGAGAGCTTTCATAGTCCCAATGGCAGCATGAGAATGAGGTCTGGCCTTGACAGTTAGCATCCTGCTAAGAAGTTACAGCGGAGCAGCTAATGAACATACTGTGGATGCTACAATAAGAAATTCCCATCCTGGCATTCCGCCATTTTCCTTCTACCCATATCACATTATGAATTCTATTATCAACTAATAATTTGGATTATTTTCCTTCAAAACACTACCTGTACTATCAGAAAACATATGCCAGTTGGAGCAGCATGTTTCTGTACTATATTAATGGCAAATGGGGCATTTCCCATATCCCCTGGCTAAACTGATATTTCTCCCCTTTAAAGAAATAAAGTGAGACTAACACAGGACTGTTTTTCATATCTGTAACCTCAGAAATATCCTCTCCTGCACTTTAACTGGCATTTATGAAGGTTTTGCACTCAAAGCAGATTCTGCCGACTCTGAGGCACGATAAAACATATTATGTATAGTACAGTATGCCTCACACATATATACTGTACTGCGTACAGTACAGCTCGCATTATTTTTACTGGAAAAAATAACATTGCTTTTTTTCCTTTAAGAGAAAGTCAAGTGGTCCAGTGACGTTAATTTGTTGGCGGATAGGCGTGTACAAGTGCGTACATGTGTGTTTACATATGTCTGCATGTATGTGTGCCTGTATGTGTGTGTATAGGCATGTGTGTATGTCTTCATATATGTATGTGTATGTGTTTGTATGCATGTTCAAGTGTGTGTATGTGTGCATGCAAGCATGCGTTTATGTGTATGTGTGCATGCATGCATGTGTGCATGNGTATGTGTATGTGTTTGTATGCATGTTCAAGTGTGTGTATGTGTGCATGCAAGCATGCGTTTATGTGTATGTGTGCATGCATGCATGTGTGCATGCATATGTTTACATATGTGCGCGTATGTGTTTGTTCACGTGTAACTGCATGTGAATGTGTGCTTGTATGTTCATTATTTTTACTAAAAAGAATAACACTGCCTTTTTGCCTTAAATGGAAAGTCAAGTGGTTCAGTGACGTTAATTTGTTGGATGACAGGTGTGTACAAGTGAATGTATGTGTGTGTGTGCATGTATGCATGCCTGTATGTGTGTGTATGGCATGTATGTATGCGTTCATATATGTTTGTGTATATGTGTGTGTATGTGTGCATGTTTGTGTGCATGCAAGCATACATTTATGTGTTGGTGTACATGATTATTTATGTGTATGTGTGCATGAACAAGTGCATGTGAGTATGTGTGCATGTATGCCTCCATGCTTGCATGTGTGTACATGTAAGTGTGTGTACATGTATTTATGAATATATGCATGTGTGTATGCATTTGTGTGACGCTCATTTGTTAGGTGATAGGAATGTACAAGTGTGTGTATGTGTGTGCGTATGTGTGCATTTATGCACGCCTGTACGTATGTGAATAGGCATGAGTGTATGTGTTTGTGTGCAGGCTAGCATGTGTTTATGTGTTGGTGTGCATGTGTGTGTGCATAAACAAGTGTATATGTATGTGTGCATATATGCCTTCATGCTTCCATGTGTGTACATGTAAGTGTGTGTACATGTATGCATGCATATATGCATGTGTGTATGCATTTGTGTGATGCTCATTTGTTAGCTTATAGGAGTGTACAAGTGTATGTATGTGTGTGCATGTATTCTTGCCTGTACGTGTGCATATATGCATGTGTGTAAGTGTTCATATATGCATGCGTATATGTGTGTGTTTAAGTGTGTGCATGTATGCATGCAAGAATGTGTGTACGTGTGTTTTTGTGTATGTGTGCATGCAAGTATGCATTTATGTGTGCATGCAAATAAGCATTTATGTGTATGTATGTGTGAAGGATGTGTACGTGCATGCACACATTCATGCAAGCATGCATGAATGTGTGCATGCATGCGTGTGTATGTGCACATGTAAGCATACATGGATGCATTTGTGTACGTGTATGTGTGCATGTATATGTGAATGCATGTGTGTATGCGTTTGCGTATGTGTATGTGTTTTTGTTCACATATGTGTGCAAGTACATGTTCATGCCCTGTGGTCGTTTCTGCTCTAATCAGAAGCTTAACCTGCAGGCCCCAGGTGTATTTCACGTGTAGCCAGTAGGGAGGGGGTGCTGGGGTCAGCGGCACTGACACACCTGCCTACGGCTATGTAGGCCTCACCTTCATCGCTTCTGACAGGAGTGAGTCAAAAAAGCAGAAACTTGTCTCCAACCGACACAACAGGCCAAAAGGTCGGTGGCGAGGCTGCGGCACTCGTTACGCACATGGCAACACTAACAGAATGCAGAGGAACCCCCCAATTAGCAGGCGATAACGAGGGGCATGGTTTGTGTAACTTAATATACGGCCTATTTGACCAAAACGTCAGATGAGAGGCAGGAGGCACAGGCTGCCATTAGCGCTACGTTAGGTTTGGTTATCACCTGGAAAGCTGACGGAAACACTGAGCATGCAGCCATGTCATGAGGGAGGGTGGGAGGGAGAGGCTAAACTGCTCAGGCATGTACAATTCCGGCACATTCTCCTCGGAAGGAATATATTCACAGTGGAAATAAATAAATAAGTTGTGGGATTAGACAAAGGCAGGAAAACAGCAGCGATCCGGGAGAAGTTCCTACAGGGAAATGTAAATACACCTATGAAGCGTGAGTCAAGTCACTGACACAAACATTAGCAGATTTGGGTGCGTTTCACACGGGGGCTTACGGGGCATTAGTGTCAAGGCTCCATCTTGGATTTAGCACTGGCATTTATAACTTACGCTGTGTCAAAAGACTTCCGAATAAGAATGGATATTATACTCAGGTGAGACATTTGTCACTTCTCTGCGCATTCTGGGACCACTAGAATCCCGCCCTCACAGCCTATCGCTTCTGCCTGACCCATGGCCTTGCCCCCACCCCCCGCCCCCGCTAAGGTTCCAGCGTGACCCGCAGACACTCAGTGCCTGGGCTCTCCTCGCACTAAGACCAGCGGCTCGAGCCTGGCCCTTTTTAATGAGATTATCGGGAGCGAAGTGTCACTAAGTAGGATAGAAAATGGAAGCCATTATCTGGCATTTTCTCAGAGCATCCCTCCCCATCCATCTGCTCGCCACCCACACAGCCGCTAGTCCAGGATTAGAGGCGTGATTAGCTGGGGATCGCTGCTTAAACACCTCTGCTCCGCGTCTCCGGCCGGCTGCAGCCTCCTGTTCCGCGGTAATGAGCTGGAGCTCCGCCCGGCACGGCAGGCCTTCAGCCACACAACCCACCAGCGCCGACCTCCTGGTCAGATCTGGGAGGTACAGTCCTATGGCTAAAAGATTTTCTGTACCTCTGTTCATTTGTTTAATCTATTTACTCTCGGAGCATTTTAGGAAAGCATATTGCTAAATGTATGACTTATAACAGCTGTATTATAAAAATTATGAGAAATGCTGCCTAACCACCGGAAAAAGTAGCTACTAATACTTGGTGAATAGCAAAAAACATCACCCTGCGAATACTGGAATTTTACAAAAACGTATTTGCTTATACAAAATATGCATCACACCAAAATCAGCCATTTGGTGAGTTGTGATTCCCATAACCATCTTCCTCCAGTTTTCTTAGACTTTGTGTCCACAATAACATTCTACAGCACATTCATGCTGTCAGATAGCTAACTTAGAGGCTATTTTCCTCTGCAGGCGAGTCAGAAATCTGGCTTCCGTGTGGCTGGGTACCCACTGCCGGCGCCCCACACCCAGGCTCTACCTGTGATCTTGTCCCGCACTAGTTTGCAGGACTCGATCTCCCCGATGCTGCCGAAAAGGCTGCGGAACTCTTCCTGGGTCATGTTCTGCGGCAGGTAGTTGACGATGAGGTTGGTCTTGCTGTCGTCGTTGGAGCTGCCGGTCTGCATGGGTGACGGGCAGCTCCGGCTGTTGCTGGATGGCCCATTGGCCGTGGTAGCGCTCGGCCCATTCGTGACCTGAGGCTCTATGTTGCTAATTATCTGCAAAGAGGAAGAGAGAAAAGCAGGGAGATGGTCTCTTAGAACAGCGACTGGCAGGAGCTCTTCAGCATCCAGTGAAGGTTGCACATTCCCAGCACCAAATCATTACAAAGCCTCTGCTAATGCTGCAGCACGGACCCAAGCGGTTAAATATCCAAATAGCTAGTTTGGTTTCTAACGTGTTCCCTCCTCTCAGACACATTTTGACTCTCTTCTTGTGCTTTGATAGCTAGCACACTCAAGGTAGGTAACGAAGCGAGGCCTTCAGTGCGGCACCGCTGTCGTGGCGGGACAATATCTGTTGCTGCTTGAGAGTTTCTGCTCGAGATCAGGTGTTTGAAGTGGAGTCTGCTGCCCCAGAGGGAGTGAGGAGTGAAGAAAGAGCCTGTGGGACGTATCCACCGGCTAACGCTCATTTTAAGGTCCTCACTGCCGCTAAATGTATTCAGCCATTTACATAAAATTGGTGCTTAATTTAATAATTTGCCTCTTCTTTACAGTCAGCTGACTCCCATCTTCCACTTAAGGAGACGTTGAAGCTAAAAGCATGTAGACTGGGTTGTGTTTTTGTTTGGGATTCGGAAAGGAGGGGGCCACACTGTCAGACAGCAAGCTGGAAAAGCATCTCCTGTCAGCCACATGCAGGGCCAGTAATACCGGGATTCGTGGAGCGGAGCGTTCCGGAAACAGACTTGCAGACTATGTGTGTAGGGCATACTCTGGCTCCCGATGATTTAATAATGGTTTAAATTTAAATTTGCCATGAATATACTTGATCTCCAGGGAAAAAACAACAAGAAAATAGAGAGGAAGGAATGGGGGGGTTAAACGGCTGACTCCACCCACATGTTTAATATTCAAATCAGTGTGACTGTGAGGTAATTTCAACTCAGAAAAAAATCTTTCCTTCTAGTGAAAGTATGAAAACTCAGGCAAAAAGACCTCGGCTGAATTTCCAACATGATTTATTTTTAATGTATCTACCTTACATAATAAAATATGTAATGTCACTAGAACAATATTTTAAAATTAAGAAGTAGTAGTAAAATGTATTATCTATGACAGGTCTTAGATAGCCCTCTCATATATGTAGTAAACTCAATACAATAAAACTAAGATAAAAATGTGCTTTTTTGCCTAATTTTAGGTACCAGTATATTAGAGTTTTACGTATATCAGCATGTTTGCATACAGGCAAGTGTAAGCTGCCATCTGGCAAAATAGACAGCTTTTAGAAGAATTATGGTTTTCTTTGTTAAATCTTTGGCTTTTTTTCCCACAGTGGTAAGTATCCAAGATCAGTCTTTGTTTTTTTTAATTCAAATTAATTTTTCCTTGGTTTTGTTTGTTGTCTCTATGATATATTTACATGATACCAGGGATCATTAGGATCTGTTTTTGTTTCAGTTCAAATGGATGCAGTCTGTATGGAAATGAAAGCAAGAACTCGCATCTGGTGTAAATGTTTCCTGAACAGCTCCTGGTTTTTAAAAATATGTCGGTGATCATTTGGGGTCTGGAGACCTTGCTGGACCCTCAACTGACTAGCAGCTGGTCAATGGTTATGAAACCCAGAGAGGCTCAGTCATATCACAATGCTAGTGGATTTACATATTATCCCGTGTTATAATTTACTTTATGTAATGTGTTACAGAAAAAAGGTGCTGTTTTATTTTTTACAGAAGAATAAATTACAATCTATGCAGTGTTTTCTCCATTAACTATTTATAATCAGGTGCAGCCCAAATAAAAAACTGTACCCATCAAAAATGACACCTATTTTTCTTTTAAACAAGCATCAGCAAAATCATCTAACACCTGTGGAACTTAAAGATACATTCTACTTTTTAAAAGTAAAAACTGTTGTAAAACTCAGATGCAGCATGGTAAGTACCCAATGTTATCGTGCCGATAGCACTAGTAAAGGAAAAAGCTTCTACTGAATTGAGCTCCTAGACGCCAAGAAAATGAGAAATCGTTTCTCGGCACAAGAACATGCCTTATAATAAACAAACTAACTTTATTATCGGAAGTTGCTACATTTTTTTTTGGGATATATAATTAAATTGGGTTGCTGGCGTATCCCACAAAGCACTGTAAATAAACGAATTTTATCTTGCCGGGATGTTAAGTAAAAGGTTGACGGAAGCACATTTTAGACCACGCTGTACCTGCCAAATTACGACACGTTTATAACTGTCCATCAATCCTTGGCGTCTCCGAGTTCGCCCGAGTGAGATGGCAGCCAAAGTCTGAGCCCGGGCACCGCGGCTGCACGCAAACGGGGCTCCCAGCTAACGCATGTCTCTCTAGAAATGCGCTTATATTATATTATAGGCGGTTTGTATTGTACGGCGGCTCCGTCAGTATCAGGAGCCGTGTGTGTGGGCTGCGTTTGTTTGCTTTTATTCCAGGCGGAGCCTTGAAAGATTTTTATTTTAAAGAAGAAAAAAACATAAATCTAATGTGACTGAGTCATTCGGAAAAGAGTCTCCAGAGATTAGCTATTTGTGGGAGGTGGTGCAGGGAGGGTCGTGATCCGCGGGGAGCGGGGGGGGTTGGAGGGATTCACCTGACAAGCGTGTCCGGGCAAGCGGGGCAACAGGGAGGGGGCTCTTCTGAGAATGGTTAAACTCCAGGGGTTTCACTTCCTGCACCTCTGTCTTTTTACGTACCAATGCAATATATGCAAATGTTACGTTTCAGATTCTGCCTAAAAAACTCGAATAGCAGAAACAGTATCACAACGTAACATGTCCACACTGAAATAATTCTTCATCTATAATTTTAACAAATAGTTCAGTGTTGAGACACGCACACACACTCTATCTATCTATCTATCTATCTATCTATCTATATATATATTGTTTGCAGGGCTAAAAACACCTTTGAAAGATTTTTGTTTATTATTTTTCAGGTATCCACCAGTATCCATCTTATTTGCAAGGCTGCTGTAGGTTTTCTGCAAGTTCCATTTTAAGTTGTCAGAAGCCCACTGAAGCATCATGAGGCTACTCTCTCAGCAGAAAGCTCGCGGGGGGTGTTGGGTAGCAGGCCATGCGGTCGTCTCCTTACCATCTTTGGCTGTGTCAGCAGCCCCTTCTCTGCCCAGCCCTGTAGCTGTGGGAGTTCTGCCTGACGCCACTGTGTCTCTGTCGATCCCTACAGGAAGTTTCAGGGTCAACATTTAACACGGCGCTCTCTCCACGGCCCAGTGCTCAGCAGTCACACTAAAACACACAGGTGGCTGTCCTTTCGGCATCATCTGCTCTGTCCGGAAACGGCGGGACGCCGCATTATTGTGTCACATTCTGATTTTCTGGGAATATGGCTCTGAAATAATAGATATCGGGCGATCGTTCAAGGCAAAGATCAAACTGGGCTGCTGTGTTATACCAGAAATGTTTGGAGAACTGGAAGCTATAAAACAATTTAGGAGACACTGTATGAATTGTGGCTAACCCTTTTCTATTCATTATTTTCCAGTAGATAGTCTCCTAGCTGAAAGAAGCTATATGTCTGTTTGGATGCTGTTTAAATGACAACATGGTGAACAGCTAGAGAGGAATTACCAGTGCATGAGATGGACAGCAATTAAGGCTAATAATTTAGATGGGATAGTGCTATCATTAAACCATAGCCTGATTCGTTTTAGGGGTTTGCCACCTGTGTTTTAGTTTTAGTGAAGACTGCAGGTCACAATATCACAATCTGCTATATGATTTTTAATACAAACATTATATACACACAGTCATGTCAGCCTCCACAGTTACATAACAAAAAGAGACTGCAGATTTTGCACGTTCAAGGCCGCGTCGGACTAGCATGCGGCTCATAAATGAAGGCAGCGGTTGTCCCCAGCTGCCGGGGCACCAGTCAGCATCACCCCTCCGCCTCCTACCCGCTGCCCACACGTACATCAGCGACATTAGGATCTCTGGGAGGGTGTAAAGCCCATAGAGAGAGCACACACTTGCTTTCAGGGAAAACAAAACACATGCCTGCAATCAACCAATCAGAAGCCAGAAATGATGCGACAGACACAACACACAGTATGATACTCAGAGTTGGGCCTCAGAGATAAACCCACCATGCACATTTAAAGTATGCTGTAGGAACACTCAGCACTGTAAAGCATCTCAAGCCTCACAAGTCTGCAGTGTGCTGAAGCGAATGATGTCGCATTAATAAAAATGGGTATTAAAATGAATGCAATAAAAAATGTACTGTAGTGCTCCCTCATCCATGGGGGAAATGTTCCAAGTCTCCCAGCAGATGTCTGAAGCCAAGGAGATTACCGAGCGCTATACTGACGTTTTTTTTTCATATACATACCTACGACAAAATTAAATTAGACAAAAGACTAACAACAAAAATCAATAATAAAATAGAACAATTCAGACAATATACTGTAATAAAAGTTATGTGAATGTGGTCACGTGCAATACCGCGACAGTGGATTTCATAACTGAGATGGCTAGTAGGTGCCTAACGGGCGGGTAGCATATACAGCGTGGATATGCTGGACAAAGGGAAGATTCATGTCCTGGATAGGAAGGAGTGACATTTCATCATGCCACATTTCAAAATGTATGAATTGTTTCTTTCTGAAATTTTCCAGGCTGTGGTTAACAGGCTGTGTAGTTAACTGCAGGTAACTGAAACCGTGAAAAGCCAAACTGCGGATAAGGGGGGGGGGGGGGGTACTGTAATCTTATCTAAAAAGCATGCAGCATGCAAGCAAAGTATAATGACGCATTACGGCATATCAGGATGCATCCTGTCTGCATTTTCCTTAAAATGTCATCCCACAAAATAATAAAAGTCTCACCTCTTTCGTCTGTTTTTTAATCCTCTCTCCCATACCCTTATCTCAGAACCTGAACCGGCTGCTTCATTCATGCCCACACCACAGATTTGCAACGAAATATAAAATTCAGAGCTGCACCTCCATTGCCAAGTCGTCTATTTATTCCTAATGCATTCCTAATTTGAATTAACCGTAGACATGTTAGTGTGAATGGCGCCCAATAGCGCCAACTTCGACATGGATGCAATACATATCTGTGCTCAGGGAAGAACACACTTCTCTGTCGTTATGGCGTAATGGCTGTTTTACGACAATGGGCCGAGAGTGACGGTGCCTCAGTCTTGCGGTGGAGTCCAAAGGGTATGACACGAGCTGTGCTCTGAGGCAGACCTTTGCGCCTCTTGAAAACGACCGCGTAGAAGTGAGTGTGCATGCCCCCCCACCCTGCCGTCCATTGGTGTCCCCTGACTCTGCGGGGACTGACACAGCAATGTCAGCCTGGTGTAAAGCGCAGGTCACCCGGAATGCGTGTTTGACATTAAATTAAATCCATAGATACGAGGAGCGACGTCCACCAAACTAATAAATGAGATTGTTAGTGACCCTGATCAAGACAAGCATGGCCTCAAAAACACAAACGTCCTATTACTGATAAGAAAGTTTACAATGCAAATATTCAGTTTTTTCTCATGCATTTTTTTCTCTCTGTGGCTTTAAACTGTATTATGCAAACATCTTATTATTTTTATATAACTCAACAAAAAAATTAAATATGTCCCAATATCAGAATATATTCAAAAAACAGCAATAGCTATATCACCAATGTACCTATGTAAATTGCTAGCTGCGTAAGCAACTCCTGCAATAGATAGGTATACAAAATTGGCATGTCGTTATTAAGGTTTTATCATTAGAAACATTTGGTAATTTTGTACACAGAATTGGATTATGGGGAAGCAGATGGGATGGAGTGTTTTAAGCGGATGCTAAAGGGGTTCCACAGCACTCTTATTAGCAGTACTTGGTGAAAGAAATTCCTCAATAGTTAACACTCTACACGGCAGCTGTGCTGTTTCGTGTTGAGGTCCTGTTGATATATTTCATATATATTTTTTTCTGCAGTTTAATAAAGGCTGAATATAATTAGGCCCAACAGGATAATTTTACTGAAAAGGGTCTCAGTCGTACAATGCAGTGGATTTGTGAGCCTGTGGTGCCCATGGTCCTGGGATACCACAAAGCCACGGCCGGGACATGTGCCGGGTTTGCAAATCAGAACCGGCACGGTCCCATGAAGGAATTGGCCTTGGCTGTGCTCGGATTACAGTTAGTTCCAGGACGGGTTTCTGGGGAACCACCAGGAACTTGACTGTCAAAAATTTGCAATATAGCAGAAAAATCCATTGTGGCAAGTTCATACAGATATCCGCTGCTTTACGAAAGTCAGGCGTTCCTGTGAAACCTTTCATAAGTTGAAATGGAGTAAAGTAAAGAAGCCATTACCATTCATTTATATAGTGGGGGGGAATGAGCGTTCCCAGATCTAAAGAAAAACCTATCAAATCATACCAAATAACATATTAAACCTAAAATAACACTAGCATATAGTAAAATCAGGGATGATATGAAAAATACTCAGCTTATATAAGGTAGAAATAATGTATGTGCATACATTAGCTAATCCGAATCAATACCGTCATGTGTCACTTAGCGACAGCTAGGATACGTTGCGAGAAAGGCACCGTTAGCCGATTTTGCCATTGTGAGAACATCATAGAGAGTAGTTACACAAACCCATATGGTACAGCCTACTACACACCTAGCCTATACATAATGATAAAAGGTACAGTATTGTAAATACATAAAGCAGTAATATAACTGTTTCTGATCATTATCAGGTATTATGTACTGTGCATAACTGTATGCGCTATACTTGTGTATGTTTGTTTATATAAGTTTGTTTACACCATCACCACAAACACATGAGTAATGCGTTGTGCTACGATGTTACTACGGCTGCGACAGCTAGGCGATAATACTTTTTTTCAACTCCATTATAATCTTATGGGAACACTGTCGTACCTGTGGTCTGTCACTGACCCAAACGTCGTCATGCGACGCATGACTGAATATCTAGCATTAGCTCGCTGACAAACTAGTGCTGGCGAAACAGTTACAAATTTCCGAAAAATGGCGCACATAGATGATTGTATCAGTTCAGAATATTTTTATTTTAAAAACTGTGTATACACACAAAGTTATGTATATTATAGTATTATAATTATATATTTACTGACCTTCTAACCTATGTTATGCCACATTACAGTGAACCGACCTTCAGTCCCCTTCCAACACGTGCTTCTCTGAGCAAAACGACGCTCGTTCCTCAGCGCGACACCGTACCCCGGTGAGTCGGCGCCGGTGCGCGCGTGTGGCTTGCACCCCCTCCCGAAACGCACATCAGAAGCATTCCGACAGATTTGTAAGGCTCATATCTTTTTACATGAGGTCAGTGGAGTTCCCTCTCGCTATCGATTTTTATTTTTCTGTCTTTTCTCATATAAAAGATTCCAACGCTCCCCGTCCGCCCGGCGGCTCTGGGCTCCTCTGCATCCTGCAGGTCAGACGGAAGCTGGTCGGGATCAATCAGGACAGCAATCTGGGAGCCTGTGCTCCATGGCTGCCTGCCTCCGCTCCCATCGATCGGCAGCTGCTTTGCCAAATGGATTTTTTTTTTTGTGACTCAGAATAATAAATGTTCCAGTATGTAAGCAATTTTTCTCTTTACTTTGTTTTTACTATTTTTTTCCCCTCATGAAGTCCAGAGTTTCATGGAATCAATACAAAAAGAGATGCTGTTTGTCTCCTTCCTCTCATCCCCTGGTGAGGCTCCAGGGCCAGAGTTTGGCTCAGGGTTCAATTAAAAGCTGCCTCAACCTCACTATCACCCTGAGCAAGGCCTACATGCAAAGAATAAACCAAGGCAACCATCCTTTCATAATTTATAATAAGACATTAGAGCAAAAGTGTTTAAATATCTCCAGATCGACTGATCTGTCAAGAAGAAACCAGGGCTAGTTAACTTCAAATTTTATATATAGTTTGGGGGATGCTGCACAGACGAATATGACTGTACCAGGATCAGTTTACTTTACCATCTTAGTAAATCCTCAATGCTGATCAATCGTACATGGTTTCCCTTTACGTCGGATGATAATCAACATGTTTTTCACTACAAAGGTTGCAAATCCTATTGAGTGAGACAAATTGCTAGCCAGTTTCAGTTTTACCCCACTAAACTGAAAAAGATAACACAAAATGAAAGGATCCTTTAGGATATAGTTTTTGGTGT